TATATATACACATATACATACATACACACACACACACACACACACACACACATAAAACGATTATTTGACAAATCGAAAAAACGATCGTTAGATTATTTGACAGAAAAATAATCGTTAGCAACAGCCCTACTATATAGCATATTTTGTACAGTACTGGCAGACTGCTGTAAACACAGATCAGTGTGAGCAGAAGGTCACAGGACACTCATTGGTGATCCTGTACAATCCCTAAAGCTCGACTGGTCCATCACCCTCTTTGCCTCTTCCCAGAAACCTCAGGTGCTTCTGGGCTTCAACACAGGGCCTCATAGGAAGCCATTGTAATTGTGCTCAGTTTTCGATCTAGTCAGTGGGGTCCCTGCTGGCTGGAAAATAACAACCCATAACCAAATGATTAGGGAAAAATGATGGTGTGTATTTCTTACATTTCCAATGTTAATCAGCTAGGGAGCAGCAGCCATTGTGTGTTAAGGCTCAGCACCTGCAAGGGAATAGAGAAGGGCTCTGCTTGTACAATTTATGGATTTTAAGATGCCAATTTCTTCAAGCCAAATGCTTGAGATAAACAGAGGAAGCCAGCTAGAGGCTTTTCTGTGTCTGGGAATCCAAAAGCTATGTTTGTCATTGTTCTTCGAGCTCTGTATAGGGTCAGCAGACCCTGGGATAGCAAAAATAAATTAAGTTCACAACAATGTTGTGGCAGCATCCAAGATCTCTGTAAAATCTAAAAATTCTTTTGCAAATCTTTCAGGTGGACTTGCGCTGATTTTAAATATACAAATCACTCAGTTGCCTTCCAACTGAGTGAACGGTTATGTTGCAACTCAAATGTAGTCCCTGTAAATTTCTAGTTCACATGTAGCTTTGGTTTCATTTCTTACAATAAACGCTAACTCAAGCACAGATCCTTCTCACCCTAAGGCAGCAAATTTCAAATCAAACAAACCGTACAAAATGGGAGACTAAAAGCAGTTTAATGTTAATGACAAGTATGCGTTTGTTTCTGATACGTCAGCCAAAGGAATTTACTGGACTTAAAATTCCACTTACAATACACAAGCCACATTTCGATAGTGTGAGAGGCAGCATAACGCCAAATGTTCAAATGACATTTGAAGTGACCAACCACCAATGCCAAAGGCAAAGGGAGAACTTTTTTGCAAGCATCATCGCTTCAAATTTCTGCGCACCTCACCACAATTTTGAGGTGCCTTTAATAATGCCTGCTGGCACACTTAACTGCCTGCTGTGGGCGCTCCGAGACAGAAGTAAAGAGAAGGAGTGTGAAGGAGAAGAGTATGGGGTAAGAGTGCAAATCCTTTAACTGGATTTAGGTGCTCTTGCAGCAACTATGTCAGTGGCCTGTTGGCAGTGTTAAAGCTACGTGCTGTGACATGGCTAATCTAGGGCCAAGGGCTGCCCAGAAATTGGGGCCCAGACTGGTAGGGGCAACAGCATCAGAGGTCATCTTTAATTACCGGGACAGAGGCAGATAAGCTCAAGCCACCTGGTCAGAGGTTTGCCATCTCCTGGTCTTTGACCGGATTAAGGCAGATCAGAGGCATGACCTCTCAGGTTAGACAACTATTGTTTCAGTAGAAAAAGAGAAACTTGAGCTTTGCTCGCTACTATCCCGCATTTTGTCCTTGCAAACATAATGTTACTAGCTTATTTTACTGAGAGGTCAACAGGACATGTAACTGGTCAAGCTCATAGTGATAAGAACGTCCTCTGTTGGACCGCCAGGCAAATGAGATCAAACGCCTGTTGCGCTGATTGACATAGCGTACACTGATGGATTTGAACACACCATTACAGTTTGAATTGTTTTTTTTACCACGTTAGAACGAATGTTCAAAATTCAAATAAAACAGTAACAGACATGATACAAACAAGATCCTGCTCACTGTTTATCACAAGAACACACTGTAGAACTATGGAAATAATTTACCTAAAAAAAAAAAATCCTGTCATGCTTCAATTTTATACATAGCACTTTGTTTTATATGTTTAGGTTTTTTTAAGCTGCATTGTGAAAAAAATTCTTGATGGAAATTGAGAAAACTGAAACTGCTGCCTATACTTAAACGCCGCTCTGCCTCGTTTCTTTTCAGCTGCTAGAGGGTCTACTGAGACTCAAAACAAACCGCCACCCTAAGCTGCTCCCAACTGTTCCTCGCCCTTCAGTTGGAGCCCCTCTTTATACACAGCCTATGGGCAGACACTAACTGACCTCCTCCATGCTCATGGTTCGAAAAAAACACTTTTTATAACCTTCGCTAGGTGGCAGGTGGGGCTAATTTATAAACTGCATTTTCACACAGGGTAGGGAAGCTGGATCCACAAGAGGGGGACGGCTAATGACAGACTGTGATGGAGGAGAGTACTGTAGCTGAGAGACACCACATTCTGTCCTATTTTCACTTGATTTATCAGACAACATGTAAAATCTGAGCTAATGCACCTTTAAGGCTAATTGTGGGTTATGTAAATACACTGAATGTCTATTACCTGCTTGTGGTCTTTGGCAGATCTTGCTCTCTTCCCAAAGATACAGTTAAGATCCGTTTCACTGCGAGAGGACAGGTCCTTCCCTAAAAGGACAAAAAAAAAAGAAAAAGAAAATTCTTTTTAGAAATCATTCAGCAATAAGCAAATTCACTTTGGCTCATACAAACAAGACTAATTTCAACAACAGGATAAAATAAAACATTACTAACAAATTTTAAAAAGTCATTACAGGCATGGACTAGGGTTTTTCTTTTATAAAGGAACCAAAAGGTGGCACACAAGTCAATAATGCATTTTAAATACAGACAACACCTGAGGGTGCAACTGTTTTGTTCAGTCAGCCTGTGATTGTTGAAAGGGTGAGCGCATGTATGCATAATCGGGAGGTGGCCTCTGAGTAAAGAAGGGGAAGGTTTGCGTGGGATGCTTCTTGCTCTGAGGATAAAAAGGCAAGGAAAAATAAACTGACGACAAGATCTGCCACACCACGCCCCCGGAGTCCCATTTTCAAGCCAGGCCTCAAAGACTCCTAGAGCACACAGTCGACTGTCTCGAGCCCGGGTCCTGTTCGTACAGCTGCATCCTTTTCCTTCAGTGGGGCTCTGATAACATTTGGTTATTTATTGCTTTAAAACCTCCATCTCCTCTGCTCCTGGCTTTGAAAGTCACTACACATGCAGGTCTAAGAAGTAAAATCAAGAAAGTATGTTGAAAACTTAAACAAATCAGGCTGCGGCATTTGTCATCTAGCAAACATGAAGCTGAGCCCAATCTGACCTTTCTGCTGTTGGATGAGGAAGCGCCTGTCAGAATGCTCAGGCTTTCAGGTGAAAGTGCAAAAAACAATGTTCTGATAAAAAGGAACTTAACCCTACTTTTCCCATAAACATTCAGAGGTGGCTGGATGAAGTATGGGAATTGCCAACACAAAGTGTTTTTGAATACATGCTGGTTTCCAAGGTCATGGTTAAAACAGCAACTTTCTGCACAGATAACTAGTCAAACCAGACATATCACTGAAACTCTGACAAATACAAAAAAGGAACAAATTACTAAGAAATGCCAAATAAGATAAATGGTGTCCAGTCGTGTCACCTCCAGTATGAAACGCTTCCAGGGGAACAAATGAATGACACAACTTGGCAACTGTGGCCCTCAGCTCATCAGCTTGATAATATGCTGCAGTGTATATGGTCGGCCATGTTTTCTCCAGACCTCTCACTTCACAGACACATACAGTACTAGCTGAAATGTAAAAACCTAAAAGCCTGAAGGCTGTGATGAAGCCACCAGCTCAGGTTAAATTCTGCATCAACCACCCTTGCAGCCCTGACAGGTGATAGATGGAAGCAGCAATTAAAACTGGGTTACTGGTTTATGCTGTGGGGGCCCAGACCTTGGAAGCAGAGATTTTGGTGCCTTTCCCCACAAACAAAGGCCATCAATCCTCAGTGCTGGCGGTGAGGGAGCCAGCATAAACAGGATATCAATAAAAAAAAAATTAAAAAAAGCAGGAGAGTGAGGAGGAGGGAAACCAAGATGTTACTGTGGTAACAACTTCATTTTTTTTTCTCCAGCTGTGATGTTTCTAGATGTAATGTTAAGGGCACTCAATCAAATAAATGACTGCAGAAGATGAATATTTAAGTCAAAGGTTAGTAGTTGGTTCTATACTAAGCAAATATTGTTTTTAAGTGTTCTATAATGATTTTTTTTTTTTATCTGACTCAATATGAACTCAGGTATTTTACAGTAGATTCAATGGCTGACCTTCACCCACAGACAACCTCTGCATTATGAAAGCAATACCTGATTTTTTTTAACTGCTTGTGCAACAAGCTCAGCGACACTAAATCTATTACCAAGCCTTATCTTGGCAACAGCTTCACAGGGAGGGAGCTGGCATCGCAGCAATCAGTGGAAGCATGCAAACAGGCAGGGCGGGTTATATGTTACCAGGTAACCCTTTGGTTACCCCTGCCAATACAGATCATAACCTGGAAACAGTTGAGGCAATATCAACAGGAGGAGAACATTAAAAAATGACAAAGTAGAACTTCCTGTAGCTGTCGTATCAAAACTCTTTCCAACATCTGAACATCTCAGAACTGAGAGCTTCACAGTCAAAGTGACTGAATGTCTATGCCTGTCAGATTACTTCAAGGCTGCTGGAGAACCCAACTCTCAGGTTTCCATTCATTTAGGGACAAACAAGGTGTGCCAGCATCCTTCTTGTTGCATGACAACGTTTGTAGGCCTCTTTGAGCAGAGACGGGTTAATGTGGTGTTATATTTCCAAAGGCAGTTGCATTGACAGTTCCACTGCCTAGACTGAATTCCAGTAATAACATTCCCATCTTAATCGGTTTCCTTAGTTTGACAAAAAGAAAAAATGAAAAAGAACAAAAGTCCAGCCGTCTAGGCTAAAGTTTGACCTACATGTCCAAACCCAACCTGGACCCGAACAAAATTTCCAAACTTCTGCGTGAACCTGGCCTGAACCCTCGGGTACTGGCGGGTCCCATCGAGCTCAGTTCAGGTATGCTCACTCTAGTTCAAAATGCAAATCATGTCTCACATTCTGAGAATATCCTCATTAAGATGAAAGGAAAAACTGTGAATGTAGTTGGAATGACATTCTCTAAATGTGGCAAATGGTCACATGTGGGGGCGACAGTGGTGTGGTGGGTAAAGCAGTCTCGCAACCGGAAGGTTGAAGGTTCAGATCTTGGTGCCTGCAGCCCACACGTCGAAGTGTCCTTGGGCAAGACACTGAACCCCCAAGTTGCCCGTGATGGCGGCACGTATGCTGCAGCAGCTCCAAACAAAATTTCAGATGTGGACACAGACCAAGATGAAAGTACATCTTGGATCGTCATTGAAGTTTTAACTTGAGCTGTTATAACAAGTTGTACCATTTCATAGGAAGCATGTACAGAGAGCGATGGCAGAAAGAAGACATGTCCGGAGGAAAATCAGAAAAACAAGAGTCGTCATCGCAGCCCTAATGTCTGTGCTTCATGTCTTAAGTGTGCAACTCATCTGTCAGCGACGAGGTCTTTTTCTGGCTCTTGCCAAAATAAGATCACAAAAAGAGGGTGAGAAGGTGTGGGGGAGAGAACGAGGCCACGCTTTATCTGGCAGGGTCATCTAATGGGTCACACGGCCCCTGGGAGGTGTTGTTTTTGGGGGGCCAGTAAATGGACATGCCAGATGCCCCAAACAGGAAACAGGAAGGTGCTACCGAATGACGTAAAATATAAAAGACTCTTCCAGGTGAGGCAAAAGTTGAGATATTTTGTTTTCCCATGTACATTGACCTGATGATCTGAATCCAATAACAATTAAAGATTTCTTTTACATGTGCATATATGATGAACTTGCACAACTTCAAAAGGACTTAAAGATATTACTTTAACTTAAAATAAATAAAAATGAATTGATAGAAGCTACATATAAGTTTAACCAGAAAAACATTACTAATAAATACCTTAATCTTGATAAATTATGCCTGTAATCACTAAACTATGCTGCATGCTCAATTAAAGCAAGTCAGCAGTTTAAAAAAAAAAAAAAAAAAAAAAAAAAAAAAAGGTTTGCGGTTATTCATTTTGGGCTCTAGTGGTCCTGAACACCAAATTCCTCGTCTTGCCTATCAGCGTACCGGCCTTGAACAGCAAATCTTCACTTCCTGACGTGTAAAGGAGCAATAAAAGCAGAGGGAAGAGTTATTAATAACCTCCCCTAGCGATGACCGGACCAACTGACCCAGCACAGGCTGACAGAGCTCTGATCTGGTTCTGAGGTCTGAGCCAAGTGTTCAGCGAGGGGTGAAGGAGGCTGGCTGGATCCAATCTAGTTAGGTTTGTTGCAGGATACTACAGCAAGTTTTACAGGTAATCACTGTAATGACGTCTGTGTGCATTTAGCATCTTTTTAAGCCATGTTCACTCCTCTGATCTCTGTCTACCATCTGTTGCCAAAAGGCAAACCTACCTTTAGTAAACTTCATGTAATGGACCCTCTTTTTGGAGGTCTTGGACTTCTCTTCCAAGCTGAAGCCTTTTTGCTCATCTTCTGCAGGTTCTACAGGTAATATAAGGTAAATATGAGAAAAGAATTTACAACACAATCACAGACAGTTACAAACTTAGGCTGGTGTTTAGTATCACTGCACCAAACATCTACCAGCTCCCATTATAATATGTGCTTTGTTTTCTGGCATAGTGCTAATGAGGATGCTCATTATGTGGCAGTGACTACATCGACACCTTTGCTCTAGTAAATGTTGCACTGTAGCACCCTCTACTGCTCAGCAGATGGACAACCAACCAGAAAAAGCAGCACGTGCATATACTGTGTAGTCAAACTGCTGAGGTTGCTATTGAAGGCAAGTATGAACACATCTCTAAGTATGAATCTGTACCAACAATAGACCAGTGGTGTAATGCAATGCCAGTATGAGAGATATGAGACCACTTAGTGCATGGACCATTTCTATATTACCACCCACAGAATAAATATAAACATTTCATCACAAATATGTATGAATATAATCCTTTCGCCGGAGCATAAACAGCAACTTCCCACAAATTTAAGAACCGCAGTCCTACCCTGACACATTTTGCCTCATAGAGACCACACATCGAAATAAATTCAGTTGTTGGTTAACAGCATAACATATACATACAGTGTGCTGCACAGCTTAACCAAGCTTTGTGTACATACCATTGCTCTCGTTTTGACCATGGCAGCTATTTAGTTGAGCGAGAAGCTCGTTGAAATCGTCTTGATGTGCAATCCAATTATCCTGTGAACATAGCAGGTTATCAATACACAAAACTGAAACACTCCCGTTTGGTGGCACATAAGTATATAAAGTACAGTCATTTGTCTTTTCTGTGCATTTCCCAGGCCAGTTATACAGCTTGCCTCTTGGAATTAGGAAATCTGTGGTAAACTATGCAAAAAAAAAAAGTGAATGCATTAAAAGGTGCTTTTTAATCATACATGCCTGGATTTGAACTATGTCTTATTAGTACAAAAACATTATTTAAAACCACCACATGACAGTAACAGTATCCTTTACATAAATTACATAATAAAACTCCGCTGCCTGAATTTGAGAGTAATGTTACTACGATGCTGATGCAGGTGCACTGAAAAATCTTAAATGCCAAGTATGAATGGTGTTCACCTCATAGCTGGTATTGGCTCCAAGACCAAGGCTATTGCTTTTAACTTTTACTTTGATGTGGTCGGTGGCGCCTTGCTCACTCCTCCCAAGGCCCTTGACAAGAAAAGACAGAGGTACATGATTAAAACGTTCAATGTTGTTTTAACATTGCTTTAATAGCTTATGCAATTCCTCCATTCACTGCCACCATCTAAAGAAATCGCAACACCAAACAGTTGAGATCCATCTCTACATTTGCTGTACCTTCCCCTTGGACCAGCCCATTCGCTCCAGCATCTTCTGGCCAAATTTGGAGTCATCGTTACTCCAGGCACTGTTCCTGGGGTCAACGGACCACTTCTGCTTCCTGCGGGCTGGAAAAAGAGCAGCAACACTGCAACAGTCAAACATCATGTCATTACATAAAAGATAAGAACAAACGATTCACACAGCAAGTCTATAGTGCGCTGAAGCAAGACAGAACAGATAATGCGTTTATATCCGCTGTAATAGTTGGTCTACTATGAAACTATAGCGAATACAGATATCACATTTAACCCCATCACACCCGTACTGAGCTGTAACACTGCACTGTGTGTTATTTAAACACAATTCCAAACTTCACAGCACACTTTTTTCGTGAAGGTGTCACGTTTATCCGGCAGAAATCGCTAATCACAATGTCAAACAAAATTTTCACAGCCCAGAGGACCATGGGGTTTATAGGTTCATGTAAACACGGTGACTGACAACGACGAGCTACTATAGTTAGTTTAAATATAAAAGTGTAGGAGAGAAAGCACGTGTTTAAACAGACCGCTGTAGCTAATGCTAATGCTAGCTACCGGAATACTCTAATACTACTACTAAAAAAAACAAAATCTCCCATCAGTTGGTACCAATGGCTTTAACGAACACAGAGCATAAATTGGGTATTATTATAACGACAGAAACTGAGAAATATACATCAAAACTCTAAGAGAAATGAACATACGTTCAGCAAGCATGGACATCCCGGGGTCCTTGAACAGCGTAACGAAAACCGAGTAGGCTTCCCAGAAAATGCCTGAAGACAATATATAACTGTGCTTATTGTTTATTGTAAACATATCCTCAAAAATGTAGATTATATCATGCATTCGCTAAGACTACAAGCATGCTATTTAGTCTATTATTTTAACAATTGATGTCATTGCTATTTTTTTTATTTGTATTAGGTATTACTGTAAAGAAATATTTTCGCCAAGAGAGGGCGACACAAGCATACAGCCACAAAATGCTGTATATATTACGTGTATGTACGTAATATAGCCATGTCGCTGGGTTACCCAAGTTCAGTGAACGCAAAACTACAGGTCAGTAGGATAGACTGCCTCTCTCCCTCTCCCTCTCTCTTCTTTCTCTCTCTCCACACACACAGACACATAATGGACACCTGAGTATAGTGGAGAAGTTGCTGTAAGTCGTGGGAACAAAGAAGTACTTTTTCAGTTTGTTTTCCTTGACCACAGTTCCAAATACACAACATGAACTAAAATGACTTTGTCTCGAAACAAACCATTTGTTGCCAACAAAAACACTGAAGTAGAAACTTAAGAGCAGCAGCTTTAAAAAATAAAGTAAATGATGTAAATCATAATCATCCTGGGAGACGACATCAGTAAAGAGTAACCACAGTATTAGGAAAGTAGCTACCAGATGAACCAGTAGTATCACTGGTTTACAGTTGCTTTTGGGTATTATAGTATGAAGCCTGGACAATCCACAACATTTTATAAGATTTTAGTTGTTTAATAATAATAATTAAACACTGTGAAGATCTAAAATTCCAGTGGCACAGGTATAAGTGCCCTTGAAGGTTACAAGTTATAAATGCTCTGTATTAACTTTTATCAGCCCTATCAGAAGAAAAAAGTCACTTTTGATATGTGACAAGTGTTAACAATTCCTGTGTAACCAAAGTAAAGAATGAAAATAGTATTTATTTATGCTAAAGAAGGCTGTGTAATGTTTTTGAAATCATGCCAAGAATATTTAAAAGCTAACTTTTACCACCTTCAAAAAGTGTTTGCCCAGGGAAGGTGCCAGTGCCTCAAGTTAATATGACTAATTTTCTGTTCAGTCATAAATTCAGCAGTGGTGGGGAGAGTTTTAAATATATGACATCAGAAAAAAGATGTATTTCAGTGTTATTATTATAATTCAGCTTTCCTTTCTTTGTAATAGACACCAAACTAGTCTCAGTACGACAGATATTCTCGTGATCCCTCTGAGATGTGATTGTTTTTGCCCTTGATGATGTTCATAGCAACATGCTGCACCATTCTAAACTGGTATTTCCACAACATACAGTATCTACTTTTACTTTTTTCATCTAAGTCTAATCAATAATTTAGAAATAACATGATGACTTTATCGTTACAAAGGCTGCTAATGTGTTACATTCATCCTTGTCTATATTTTCTTTATCTTATCTGTTTAGCTTTCTAACTCAATCACTTGCTTTGCTCTGTGTCAGCCCTTAAACTGAGGGTTTTCGATGCCTGCTTTTATCAGAAACTGAAACATGAGACCACTCCACCTTCTCCAAAGCTCACTGACAACTCTCTATAATAGTTGGCTAGCATAGGGGTGAAAAATACTTTGTATAAGGTAATGCACTTGCATTCCACAGGGCCTTGTTCTAATTGTATAAGCACAGGATTAAGAAGTGGTTAGGTAACAAGAGTCTGGCAGGGCTCAATGACAGCAAATAGCAAATTGTATCAGATTGTTCCTGAGCTTGTCATTCCAGTTTTTTCCTTTCTTTTTCAACCAACCCTGTAATAGTTCTTTGAATGCTACAGCCATTATGCACATGTTCATACCATGCACTGGTCAGAGCAGGTCAAACACTTCTTTCAAAATTTCTAGCTAAGTATTAAGGTCAGAGCAGCTCAAACACTTCTTTCAAAATTTCTAGCTGATCTAGAAATCGTTAAGTCCATTATCCCAAACTCAAAATTGCTGGACACTGTGTGAATCATATTGCACAATGACAAGCAGAATACTGGTGCACAGATTTGCTGACTAGGCAGCCCTGCAAGTGTGAGTGCATGCCCAGTGGGGCGTTTTAGGTAAGAGGCAGAGTTACCCTTACTAGAAATGTGTGTTTGTGGAGGCATGGAAAACAAAATTTAAACTATTCGCCAAAAAAAAAAGGATCTACATCATTGCATTGGATTTCCACAGACTTTCCACTCATGCATTAGTGCAAAGTAGGTTATAATCTTAGTTCTGCAAGACCATCTCACACCTAAATGTTAGTGGAGAGGTGCTCTGGTCCTAAAAGTAGGAACACTAATTGTATATTTCAAACATACTAAATCCAGGCCAATTCATCTCCTATCATGGTTTGCACTACTGTCACTGACTGTACATGGTTTTGAGTGACAGCGTATTGGCTGTACCGTTTATATTTCTCCAAATTACATCAATCCAGTTCTTATTCTATTCTATTTTTTTATTCTACTTTATTCTATTTTTGTTCCTAAATGTTATGGCACCCAATATTAGGTGAGAGAGAAACGATATTTCAATTTTTTGTATGTCCTGCACATAAGGTGAATTGACAATAAAATCCTTGAACCTTATTATTTGCGCTTGGAATTTTGCACCCTGGAATCTTTTATATGAACAAGAACCAAAGAAAATCTGTCATCTGAAATAGCTGAATTACCATCAAAAACTCCTGTAATTTATGCACAGAGGGAAGGTCCTGTTTGGTTCCCTGTTAGCTAAAAGAAACCTTTTTAAACTAATAAAAAGATGAGGGAAAACAAAGAATGCTGCTGTTTTGCATCCAAACTAACATGACAAACTTTAGTAACTATGTTAGTAGGTCTGAATAAGGTACTTAAAAGGTTTTCCAAAAAGTGCTGACATCAATCTATGCTCCCTCTGCTGCGCAAGCTAGAAAAACATAGATTAGATTGTTTGTAGAAAGCACACCCAGTGTGGAAACAGTGTGAAATCACATAGCGTGATATTATCCCTGCATGGTATCGTTACAGGGAAGTGTGATCAAGCCTGCACACAGTTTCTGAAGATGTAATAAGAATATTATACGCCTTCATGCCTACTACAGAGCACACCTGCAGATGTATTTACACACAGTCACAAAGGAGAGGTACTAATTAGTAATGAGAGCTCATGTAGTGTTTGGTTGAAAGGAAAACCTGCATGCATGTCAGGCTCAGCGACTCATGATTAGGACTAAATGGAAAATGTAAAGCCTAAGAGGGAATTTAGCAGAATGAAGTGAATCTCTTGGCGCACTCAGCTAGTCTGACTCCACTCTGTGTTCTGTTGTCTGCAGCATGGTGGCTAAACAAAACCACATAAGCACTGATGTCAGTAGAAAGTTGGTAGGAATAACCCAGCAAGGGTACATTTGTAGCTGTGCATTGCAGAGTAATGCCAAGCAGGCTCATGCTTGCATTTTAATTAAAAATAAAAATGAAACCTGTGTGATATTGTCATTTAGTTCAACAGAAAGGTATCTATGAATTATGTCAGGTTTCACTAGTCAACAGCACAAGCTCAGACTTTGACACATCGTACTGCAGCTGCACAAGTTTCATCTTGTTTAGAAATGCAGTCTGACTTTTTTCAACAGTAAGATCAACAAAAGTAAAAATTTGATGAGAAGCTGATTCTGCAGGTCAGCATGATCATTAAGACCACTAAGGCTACACTCTAATGCATCTTGTCTGCTGAGGATTATACACTGCCAATATTGCTGTGTGTGATCTTATACAACTTGTATAACTCAAGTGTGACACACTTATACTGCTTCCAAACAAAAAGACATTACTTCCTTCACAATGCAACTAATCTAACACCCCTTTTTCCAAAGACAGATGAACGTTTTCATGACATTTGAGAACGTTGTGAACTGTTTACAACGGTATACTCTCCACCACCTTCATGATAAGAATGTAAGAACAGTGTCTGCCGGTTATTTATACAAGACAGTCTAGATGTACTTGTTGGAGATTAAACTATCTCTTATGGCTGTGAAGACATGAAAACAGGCTGGAGATATGTGGGGAAGAAAAATGTATTGTCAAAATACACTCAAATACAGAAACCATCAGGTGTGACAAAATATACATGTGGTGTAACATTTTCCTTTTGTTCCAAAAAGATATCAGAGTTGATAAAAAAAAAAAACATAAAATGACATAAAAGAGGTCAGAGAAGTTTAGAAAAAGTGTCAGTAAGAAATGTTTTCACATAACACAGCTCCCACATATTTATCACCAACAGAATAAATAAAGTATTGTGGAATAAACAGAAGAACAATCATCAAAAATACAGGTGCACTGTATCAGAAATAACCCCTGCCACTGATTAGACATTTACTGTAAGGATACAACATGTGTATTTCAATAGCCCTTGATTTAAAGTATTTCATTTTAGCTGGTTTTGACAATTCCTGCAAATGTACAGAAATAAAACTGGCTGAACTGGACTTCCCAAGAACGGACACTAGAAGTGCTTACAAACAGACGAACATTGCAACATTTTTTTTAAATTGATCAACATGCGAGTCATCTTTTACATCCACACAGGTTTTCCCATGGTATCGCTGCCACAGACAAGGTGCTCTTCACCCAATCTTCAAGCAGGAAAAAGGCAAAGAGACCAAAGCAGGAGTAGATGACAGGAGTGGGGAGGAGTGGGGAGGACTGTCGAGCCTGCGCTGACCTTTACATTCTGGTGACATGACAGTGTCAGGCAAGCAGAGCCCTTCTGATGTTAGAGAGAAATACGAGAAAAGAGTATGTACAGGTTTCTCCCTTCTCTTTGGTCAGTCTTTACATTATGTACAAAGAACACTTGGACTGATGCTCCGCACACTCAGTTAGCACGAGCCATGCGCGTTTCAACACCCAAATAGTTGAGCATCGTCTGGACGAGCTCTGGAAGATCATAATCGTGCTTCCAGCCCCAGTCTTTCCGTGCGTTGGAGTCGTCGAAGTTCATTGGCCAACTGTCAGCTGCAAAGAAACAGTTAATGAAGATACAGAATTTAAGGTCTCTCTTAAACATAAAGCACTGAACTAGATATCTGCATTTGACCTTTGTCTGTTTACCTCAAAGTGAGTCTATTTAACTTTTAACAGAACAGTCTCTTCTAAATTAAGTACAAATTATGAGACATAAAACACACCCTTGCTCAGGGATTTTTCTGCTACACCCTCAGTTTTTTGCACAACCAGTACCTTTTGTTGGTTGTCAGTTTACCTGATGACTGTTAAACCACATTTTGGCTTGCACAGATAAAACAATGATTTCTTTAAAGAATCATATGAAATGAAGGCAAATGAAATGTGCAGTTGCCCTGTATTCACTCTGATCTTAACAACTGAAACGATGGCTCACCAATGGCCTGTCGTACAGGGTCGATGTCATACGTGACCTCTAGCTCAGGCATCTGCTTCTGGAGCTCCTGGGCCAGTTCCTCAGGGGTGAAGCTCATGGCGTTGATGTTGTAGGTCCTCATGCTCAGTGTGTCAGCTGGCGCCTCCATCACCTCCAGTGTGGCACGCAGGCAGTCATCAATATACATCATAGGCAGCTGCGTGTCTGGTCTCAAATTGCACTGAAACTTGCCGGTTTTCACAGCATCGTGGAAGATCTGGACTGCATAGTCTGGTTAGAGACAGAAATAAAAACAATTATGATCAGCTGTAAAAAAAAAAAAAAGTGCAAAAGTATACGAATTATGAAAAAGTGATGATAACAGCAGACAGAATGTGGGTGTGGAGGAGGGTGCGGTGTCTCTTGAGACACTGTGGAGCTAGTGCACCAACTTGTCTAGTGGTCTAAAAATACAAGCAAGTAACGACAACTGGGATTAATCTGACTCACTTGTTTTAAAACTGAAACCACTGATATGGTCTGAATTTAATCTCTCTCACCTGTTGTGCCACCTCCAGGCATCGAGTCAGCAGAGATGATTCCTGGATAGCGAAGACAACGGAAGTCCAGGCCGTAACGGTAGTGGTAGTACTATTAAAGAACAGAAAGGAATTGATATTAGTAATGTTTTTTTAAATGCCTGTGTATGATTTTTAGTGGGTTCTTATATCAGCTATCAATATAGTGCATTATATACACCAGTTAAATTTTAAAAACAAGAATAAAGCATGATAATCAGCCAATAGTCAGTATTTTGAGAGCTGAAGAGAAAGCTCCCACCTCTCCCATCAGCTCAGCATGGACTTTGGAGACACCGTAAATGGTGCGTGGTCTCTGTATACAGAGGTCTGGCGTTGGGTTGCGAGGGGAACTGGGACCGAAGGCACCAATGGTGCTGGGGACAAACAGACGCAAGCCATGCTCCGCTGCAATGTCCAGGATGTTGTGAAGCCCTAAGAGTACGACAAAGAACCCATCAAATCAGGACACTGCGCCAACACAGACAACGCTGGAGGCCGACATGATGCGAAGGTAGCAAGTTATACGTTTACTCACCAGTGATGTTAACAGAGCGCGCCAGGGCCACGTTAGCCTCACCAACAGCACTGAGGAGGGCGCTGTAGTGAACCAGCCAGGTGATGCGGTTGTTCACCACAATTTCCCGCAGATTCTTGTAGTCCAGGATGTCTGAGTAGATGAAGGGGCCTGATGGTGACAACAGAAAGTGGTAAAACGTATTATTATTTAACCAAGGTCATGTAAAGTCAACACAGACAGTGACTATGCTTGTTTGTCGGGAACGCCGCTGTGCTCCCAGTAGGCTGCTAATAGGTCCTTCTAGTGCTTTACTTCATGTTATTAAAAGAATTCAAGCCAATTAACCAGCTGTTAATGTATTAACGCAAACATCTTTTCCGTTGGAATTATTCTTGTATTATTTGTCCACTGTGTTGAAAAAGTCAATACTCGTGCAATTGTGCCAGTTTGGTTTACAGGCAGTTAATGACCTGCTACATTCATTACATCTTTTCACAAAGTTGTCACATATTGATTTGACAGTACTGGTCAAAAACATATTTCAGAGATATGTGATGTTCTCTTCAGCATGAATAAAGAAAAATCAGTATGTTCTAGAGGTCTCAGTGCTGCTGTTCCAATTTGTTCCATTTAGAGTGAGGCAAAAAGCTGCAGTACATTTGCAACACATTAACAAGATTCATTAGCCATTTATTGCCAATTACCAGAAATTTTAAGTGACTTTGGAATTAGTTAAGGACTTATGTGCTAAAGGAACTAACATTGTGCTCCATCATGTGAACAAACAACAACCGAACAGAAACTGAGGACAGTGCATTTAACATCCAGCTTCCTGGAGGAAGTCATTTTGCACAAAATTATATGCCAACATAATCAGACACATCCTCACCAATGTGAGCGATCTAAAAAGTAAAATCTAAATACTGCATCTGGATTTTGACAGTAGAATTGATTTCTTATACAGCGGAGTGTACTCACCACTGTGGAAAACACTGCTTGGCGGTTTCCTGATGTCAGATAGAATGACATTGTTTTTTCCAAACTTTTTCCTGTGAAGCAGGAAGAGGCAATGTTTTACAATTTAACAATATCCCAGAACGTGATGTTACCAGCTGTAGGCGTGGCATTTACCCACAGGCAAATTAAAATCCTTACCTCAGCAATTTGGCAATCCCCACCCCGAGCTGACCAAGACCACCTGCAATGGATGGAGACAGGTAGAAGCACTAGGTGTCAAAGGACACTGCACACCTTAACTCATCCTGCCATCTATATCTATACCAAATTTTCCTGTGGAGGGTCGGGGGCAACACCTCACGTTTAATTAGCAGCAGCTAATAATCATCACTGATGGTTTCCATGGAGACTGAAGTAACTAAGGAGAGTGGGCCATAAGCAAAGGTGACATCTGACACCTACACTTTGCTTTTAAAACACATCCTGCTCTGCTTTCATTGCTAAACTTGGTACAAACCCTGCCGGTCTTGATTCCCCGTAGAACACATTTTGCACAATTCACCTTCATAAGTCTCATCTTAAATACTTTACATTTAAAAAATGCTGTCAGTTTTCAAAGCTCTATTATATTAAACAGCTGTTTGGCAGACTACCAAAACACATACCTGTAATGAGCACCTTGGGGTGGTCTGTTTCTGAGAAGGACACAGAGTGGAAGCTGGCATCAGACGTCACCTGCCGAGGGGAGAAGCTGATGTTGCGTATGGCCACGGTTAGGGGCTGGCAGCTGCACCCTGGGGTGCTGAGGAGGACCTGCTTTGACACATTGCTGAGGGCTCTGATAACAGGCATGCTGGTACCTGCGGAGCAAAAGAGTTTTCATGCTTTTTGGTGACATCAGGGCTGACAGATTACACAGGCATCTGTTCAGTTTGATGGTTTAAATGTTTCTTTTTAATAAGCTAAATAATTATTCTTATTTTAAATTCATGGTCTGCCACCAGTCTGTTGAAATCCACTTGCAATACATGTGACTGCCATCAAGTTGGACTCTTTCAGCACATTTCTAGCAATGACAAAGCTCCATGTCAAGGACATTTGTTCTGTTCTCTAAATCTCTGGCACCAAGAGACACAGATGAACTAAACTGGCTCTGAGGAAAACGGTTAAATTTACAACCCTGTCCAATGGATCTAAGACAAAATGACGAGACTAAATAGCCAAACACAGAAACAATGAAAACGTTTTGAGATGTAGATTAACGGGCCAACTGGGAAGACACGTAGGCGCACGGGAGCAGGCGACCGCCATGGCACCGTATCGACCGCCTTATACTCAGTCTGATGACTTTTACAAATCTGTAACGGGGCATTGCTTATTAAAACATACATTTCAACATGAATTTCATTTTTCGCACATTATGAAAGAACACAGAACACCGAGACCGCACATTTCAAGCAGTTCTCAAAAGTTTAAAGATCCTACAGTGCGTTTTTTAATTGCAATTAAAAAAAAAAAAAAGATCAGCTCCACGATTCCTCATTCATTCACGGAGTCGCTTCGACGATGTCCAATAACGCATCTTTTCACAATTACTTACCACAAGTGATTGGAGTTCCCCAAAAGGCAGAACAGGAGCTAACCTGGGAGTATTTATAGTGCCCTGCCTTCAACAAGAGCCAATCAGGGAAAGAAGGCGTATAGTGCCTTACAGCAGCAGAAGGCGATGCCAAGACGCCCATCGCAGAGACGGGGTTTGGAAACAGGTCGTTTTGCAGTGTTTTAAGGGTAACTTCGGATCATTTGTCTTGAACTCCCTATAAAGCTTTTCTAATTTAGAATCAAATATGTGGGGCATCATACAACACCCTTATTATCATCTACTATCATTGTAAATGAGATCACAGATTAACAGTAAAACTTTATGGTGTAGAGCGCAAACAAACCGTGCGCTTTTGGCCCATCTTGTCCGTGGCACTCACTTTCTGCAGTGCACACAGCTTTAATGTTCGATGTCTTCCCAACCTATTGTCCCATCATGTAGGTCAGCTATGTAACAGGGGATACAGCGCGTGTTCGCCTTTGGCTGATGTTGCGCGTCATGGTGAATAGTTAATTTAGCTGAGGTTCATCATCATATGTGGTTACTTTTCCACATGGAGTAGAATGTGACAACAAGCAGGAATACACTTTCGATAGGCTTAACAAATGAAACCAGGCCGGTGCAAGGCCGTGCGCGCAACATGCCACAGTTTTTACATATTCCTACGCTTTGGCCCAAAAAGGGAGCTCGGAACTAGAAAGCCAGACTCCACATGGACACGACCAATGAAACAAATCAAGCATATAACACCACAGCACATTATAATGACATCCACACAGAGACATAACACTGTAGATTATTTAAATAATTTCTATTTTTAAACCTGAGCAACACAGCGGCTACTCACCGGTTAAACCACAGGAGAATAAACAGCCAAAAATGCCGTTTGATTTGTTTTACAAGAATGAGATGCGGCTTCCTCCTTCGAGCTGGTGCCACAGCGCTCGAACACAATGTTGGCGTTATATCCCCTCAGTGTTGCATCAGCGTCTTCAGGCTTTATATCAATGACCATCTGCTCGGAGGGTAAGCCGGCTTCTCTCGGATTGGTGGAGCCTCGGAGGTGCGGTGGTCTCTCACGGACCACCCACACGGAGCGTCAACGCCCTGCTGCGCAACTCCGCGTGGCCGCGAACACCGTGTGTGTGTGTGGACGTGCTTTTCCTGCTACGTGGGGACTTCTTCCTGACTCCATACCAACTCATGAGGACCCATTTCACGGTGGGGGCCTCAATTGAGGTCCCCATGGGCAAGAAATTGAATTTTAGGGTGGCAACATGGTTTAGGGTTAGGTTAAGGTTAGGGTCAGGGTTAGGGTTAGGCAAGTAGTGGTTCTGGTTAAGGTTAGGGTTAGTCTACAGGAAATGCATGTAAGTCAATGTAAAGTCCCCATGGACTGCGAAACATAAACTGTGTGTGTGTCCATTCCCTGCTGGTGAAATACACCGCCCGGCCATTTTCATAGTCGCGCCTGTACAAGTGTATACAATCCAATGCAACACTTCCGCCTCAACATCTGTGTTTGTTAAGTTCAAAATGTTTCAGTTTCGGTGAAATTGTCGCAAATATATAAATTCACTTCTGTGTTTATTATTCTACTGAACTACATGAAGGAAATTAAAAGGTAAACAAAGCAGAATATAGCACACCTACTCTATTACATTAAGTTACTTTCTTGAGTAACTAATCAGTTTTATTTTGATTTTTTCCCTCTGGTAATATAAGGATTGTTTTGATAGTGACTGCATATTAGATTACATACATAATTAGATTGGTTAAAAAGGCACTTAACACCAAATCCTGACACTACAAGGGATTATTGACACGATACAGTGTCTTTGTTTTGAATGTGACAGACTCCATTCATGTTTAACATTGACCTAGAAAAAGGTATGACATGAAATGTACACAGCCAGGCTTGGAGGTTTGTTTGCAGTAGATAGAGGAGGGCTAGAGAGGTTGCCAATATTTCTGATCTCTGAGTGGAGCAGGCAAAGGCTGTGTGGTCTGTTTCAGCATGTGACTGGTGGATAGGAACACACCCCCAGGCCTGTCATGACTGGGAAGGAAATGACTAATACATCTGTAAACTGACACACTTTTACTATAAACAAACCTGGTTATTTCTGAGAAAGGCAGAGATTGCAATCCATTTCTGAAAAATAACAAAGCTATTTTGACTTGAACTAAGATAAACCTTAGTTTTAACTAAATGCCCATGTGAGGGTATAAACAGTCCTCTGTGGTTCCAAGAGGAAACAGAGACTTTCAGCCAAGAAATCAGAGTAGTGGCAGATGCGAGGTCACAGTGATGATAAGAAATGTGATGGCTAAACAGTAGCACTGCAAACCCCGTCTGCCATCATCACATGCCTCCATGAAGCATCTGATCCGTGGTTATTTATTCCTCAATCACTTCATCAGGTGATGGCAATGTGTTTTTTCTTTTTTCTCTTGAAGTGGCTGAGGTGCTGTTTACCATCTCCTGGACAAGTAATTTGGGACAGGCTGTGTTAAGAACTGAATTCTCTAATGAGTTCTTGCCGTTGCAGTGGAAACCGGCTGCTTAGTAACTGGGCAGTGAGACATGCATCTAAAGCCATTAGGGTATTAGTTTGTTTATAACCTTATTCAATCCTGATATTAATGCTGAAAACAGAAGAAAGGTGTTGACGAGAGCAATGAGTAAACCAGTGAAACCAGTCAAAAAAAAAAAAAAATCAATGTTAGTCAATGAACTATTTAGACTGGTATTTTAGAGTTTTACAAAAATGCATTGAATAATTACAAGAATCAAACATTTTGTGCTATGGCTTTTAATGGCTTGAACATCTTTGAACAGACAGCACAAATAAAAGAACTTAAATGTATACTTTGAATTTTACATTAATTGCGCAAAGATAATAAATACGATGCTGGCTTCAAGCCGTGCTGATGATCTTTTGAGTTTTGTTTACCTTTTGACAAAAACAAACAATCATTTGAGGATTATGTTACTCGTATAGCAAGCTTGGAAAATTTGTATAATCAGAAGTCACACCATTACCTTGGTTAGAATGGTTCTCTTTATGCACACAGAAAGAAAGCATCGTGGTAAAGTGTCTTTTTTTGGCTCAAGGAAACAAAGACGTGACACAAACACTGAAATGGTCCCTTTACTGTAGTGGCTGGAATCGGTTTAGTGTGATTATTACATCATTCTTGAAGCAAACCCCGTGAAATGCATTAAGACGATATAAAAACAAGCCGGCAAATCAAACTAAACTGGCAGATCAGTAGTGGATTTACATTTAACCCAATAGAGCCACTTTCTTTGCATTTACCTTAGTTTGAGTAACTGGCATGTTTTTACTTTTAATATTCAGACATTTAGTGTCTACCATGGCAAAACTGGTGAGTATGTGATGGATAATTACTGAGTTGTGTGATTTTGTTCTTCTCATCAAGTCAAGTCAAGATTTTTATTTGCCTATATGTCTGGACTGCCTGTTTATACATAAATGGCAAATAAAAACTTTTGACTTGACGAGAAGAACAAAATCACATAACTCAGTAATTATCCATCATCCACTGTGCAATGTAGTTCTGTTTCTCACACTCAAAACTATGTGCTAGCATAGCTGATGTAGAAACACTGTATGTCTCAAGGTACTCCCCGACCTAGGCGAAGGGCGAGTTCCTGTGTGACGTTTTTGCGCGTTATCTTGTGTAACATGAAACTCACCCCCACCTTATCGGCCCCT